TCCTGAGGTCTCCCTCTCTGTCCAGACCTCCAGGCACAGAGTCCTGAAACACTGCACAGTCTCTGTCCAGGCCTCCAGGGACAAAGTCCTGAGGTCTCCCTCTCTGTCCAGGCCTCCAGGTACAGAGTCCTGAGGTTTCCCTCTCTGTCCAGGCCTGCAGGTACAGTGTCCTGAGGTCTCCCTCTCTGTCCTGGCCTCCAGGTACAGTGTCCTGAGGTCTCCCTCTCTGTCCAGGCCTCCAGGTACAGTGTCCTGAGGTTTCCCTCTCTGTCCTGGCCTCCAGGTACAGTGTCCTGAGGTCTCCCTCTCTGTCCAGGCCTGCAGGTACAGTGTCCTGAGGTCTCCCTCTCTGTCCTGGCCTCCAGGTACAGTGTCCTGAGGTCTCCCTCTCTGTCCAGGCCTGTAGGTACAGTGTCCTGAGGTCTCCCTCTCTGTCCAGGCCTCCAGGTACAGTATTCTGGGATCTCCCTCTCTGTCCAGGCCTCCAGATACAGAGTCCTGAGGTCTCTCTTGGTCTTCCCAGGTACAGGCCACTGTGTGTTCTTTGCTTCCTCTATTACAGAAAACTACCTGTTCAGGTTTCCAACACAGAGCTCTCTATCTAGACCTCCAGCAACTTTGCATCTTCCTGGGGGGAGGGGGGGTAAACAAAATGGAGGTAGGTGGAGGATTTATGTCTGTGATGTCTCTACAGTTAGAGTTAAGAGACTATTACTTAGAATAGGCTGAATGCTGCAGTTGATAAAGCATAAACTTTTCGGTGTCACTGAGCTAAAACAACATATTTCCCATAACTTGGGTGGACTGATACCTCTCTGCGATTTTCCTATCTCTTACTACACCAAGTCACCTCACTGAATTACTTCTTTACAAACCCCAAGCCAAAATTTAAAAAAAAAAAAAAAAAGCACCTTAAGTAAAACCTTGTAATAATCCTAGAACAGACGGATCAATTCAGCTTTCGGTGAGTCCGCACTTCCGTCTCCTGGAGAAGCCAGCAGAGAAGCCACCACAGCTGCCACTCTGGCTGGCAGACACGCCAAAAAAGCAGGACAGTCAGTCCATGTATTAGTCAGAGGAGAACTAAGATCCATAAAACACAGAAAAGCAGGACAGTCAATCCATGTGTGTGAGTGTGTATGCGTGTGTGTGCGTGTGTGTGTGTGTGTGTGTGCGTGCGTGCGTGTGTGTGTGTGTGTGTGTGTTAATCAGGGGAGAACTAAGATCCATAAAACACAGCAATATTCTGCATGGTGATCTTCCGTTGCACGTGCAATGGCTCCCATAAAATTTCCATGGAACCAGAAAGTTCCATCATACTGCAGGCTTGGAGCACTATACACTGCTTGCTGGTCTGCAGCCAGGGTGCTGCCAGTCTACAAAAGTGTAGCTTGTACAACTGTAACAGTATACAAAAGCAGCAGTGGTACTCCCAGGACACTGTTGAAAATGAACTATACAACTCATGGGTAGAGACGGAAGGGAAAAATGGAAAGAGTGAGGGAAGGGGTGACACTGTCCAAAAAGAAATGTACTTTGGTGCTGGGAAGGTGGCTCAGTGGTAGAGTGTTTGCCTTGCATGCATGAGGCCCTGGGTTCAATTCCTCAGCACCACATACACAGAAAGAAAAAAAAAAGCCAGAAGTGGCACTATGGCTCAAGTGGTAGAGCACCAGCCTTGAGCTGAAGAGCTGAGGGATGGCACCCAGGCCCAGAGTTCAAGCCCCACAACAGGAGGGAGGGAGGGAAGAAGGGAAGGAAGGAAGGAAGGAAGGAAGGAAGGAAGGAAGGAAGGAAGGAAGGAAGGAAGGAAGGAAGAAAGTAAAGAAAGGAAGAAAGAAAGGAAAGGAAAGAAAGAAAGGAAAGAAAAGAAAAAAGAAAGGTACTTTGTATATCACGTTTATAGTAAGATTTAAATAAAAAATAATATACAATGTAAAATGAACTTTAAAATTTTTTAAATATAAAAACATTTCTAACAGTACAGAACACTTGATAATGGTAATGAGCTACTATAAGACTTGAGTAGTAATTACTGCAGTGGCCTTTCTACTCTGGGTCACCACATCTGACTTCACCAAGTCTTCTGATCATATGATTTTGTCTCAGGCTGGATTTGGCCCTTATGTTGATTAGTTCAAGGCCCAAGAGAACAGGATAGAACATAAATACGTGCTGTGGAGCCTAGATTGTGGTAAGTCACACCATCAAGATGTGGAAAAGCACTCTGATGTCAATGAAAAATCGCCTCGTATGCATTTCTCAGGACATGCCCACATCATTAAATGAAATACAAATATTCATTCCATATCACAGTTTGCATGAAAATTAAAGGTAGGGGCTAGCAATGCCATGATGCTTTCACATAACATCTGAACTGAGGAAGGGATCTAAAAAAAAAAAAAAGCCTGCCATCCACAAGACAGCAATACAACAGGCACTGAGGCCCCCTGGGGGCCTCCAAAAATCCTTGTTCCCCAGCCACACATCTACACATCTACCATCCACCCTCTCTCCCTCCCCTTCTCTCTCAAGTATATCACCTTTTCTGGGCCCAGGATCATGAGTAAAGCCAACTCCCACTTTCCTAGATAAGCACATGAAACCCAGAACACAGGAGGCATTCCATCTCACTATCAGCATACCAGTACAAGGGGAAGTGGCCTGGAACCTGTCCCAGAGGCACCTCAGGTGCCTGGGCCCTGCCGCAGCTTCTGCAGGGGGCTCATGGTGCCTGCCCCAGGGCGAAAGAGCAGGGCTTCTCACCACCCTGAAGGGCAGGACCAACCACTGCCCTCAGGCGGGCCCAGAGCCAAACCCTCTACAGAATTCAGTCCTAGACCCCAGTCCAGATGCAAAGGACCCACCAGGACCTCTTCATCCACTGTGAGAATGTTGCCTAGCAACATGTTTCAGTATTTTCCTGTCTAGTTCCCACAGAAATGGAGCTAAACCTGGACCAGAAGACAAAAACAACAGGGGAAGAGGCCAACGTCAGAGGACACAGGAGTGGAGAGCAGGCCAGCATTCCCCGTGCGGGATCCAGGTGTGCAGATGGCGTCTGATCCTCACCTCGGGGTGAGCCTGAGTCTACAGGAGCAGAGCCTCCCACTGGGGCTCAGAGAAGCCACAGAAGAGAAGGCCGCGTTTTCAGAGGAGCGTACGCCAGCCACCCTGGCCCTCAGTACTCACAAAGAAGTGAGAGGGGAGAATGGTCACCAGAACGGTTGTGTTGCAAATCTGGCTATCTGCACCTGCAGCTCCCTTCCACGGCCCCTGCTCCATGCAGAACCGACTGAGCTGCTGTCCTTTTCTCTGCCACTCACCAGGGGACGGAAAGGGAAAGTTCATGAAAGAGGCTATGTCCCTTACAAACTGTTAAGTGTATAAATAACACGCTCTCTGAAGGGACCCCTGCCCTTAGCAATCTCATGTTTTATTCATGACTCTTGGAAATTTTGCATTCTGCCTGGCAACATATTTACATTCATGAATAATGCTTTCATTGCTTAAAATCAAATACAATTGACAGTACAGACAGACACACCACATTTATCCTGTAGCTCCAGCGCCCCACACTGCCGGCCACCCCAAGGGTGCCGTACCCAGTCTGAGAAGCTCCTGCCAACATTGTGCCGTGAGCTCGGGCATGGCACTGCCACCGACAGGTTCACTGGCCCTGGAGCTCGCTGCCAGAGCAGCCAGGCTGCACACCCTTGTGCCTCTCCGGGCAGAGTGGCATCCAATCATATGTGCAGTGTCTGTAGATGTCGGAACCCCTTGGGGGGAAATGCCCCTGCCTGTAACAGCACAGAGAAAAAGCACAACCACACAGGACACTCAGACAGAGTGTGGGCACAAAAGGACACACAGGACAGGCATGCAGGGACAGCATGAACACACAGATTAAACCCACACAAGACACACACATGCAAACAGTGTGAACACACAGACCATGCCCACAGGACACATAGGAAGTGTGAGCACACCCACATGACACACGTGAAGGGACAGTGTGAGTACACAGCCCACCCACACATGGCACGCAGGGACAGAGTGAACACACACAGCATATAGACACATCACACACATACACACAGTAGGAGCACACATAGCACACCCATACTTGACATAAAAGCAGGGACAGTATGAGCACACACTGCACACCCATACATGTTACACGAGCAGGGACAGTATGAGCACACATAGCACACCCATGCATGACACGCATACAGGATAGTGTGTGTACACACGGCACACATATATAAGGACAATGTGAGCACACACGTGACACACAAGGACAGTGTGAGCCATGTAGCACATCCACACATGTCATACAAGGAGGGACAATGTGAGCACACAGATCACACCCACACATTAGACATATACAAACAGTGTGAATACATACAGCACACATACATGGTACATACAAGGACAATGTGAGCACATACAACACACCCACATGACACACACACAAGGACAGTGTGAGCACACACAGATCACAGCATATATCACATACACAGACAGTGAGCACACACAGAACACCCACATATGACACACACACAAGGACAGTGTGAGCACACACAGATCACATACACATGACACACAGACAGGGACAGTATGAGCACACACAGCATACACATATGGCATATGCAGAGATAGTGTGAGCATGCACAGCACACCCACACATGACACACACGGGGAATGTGGGAGCGCATATACCACACCCACGTGACATACATACATAAAAGGCATGAGCAAACACACCCTCAAACCCAGGTTTGTACTAAGCCCTCAATACCCACTCATATGCCCAGCTAAGGTCCCAGTCTGCGTCCGAGGACACCCTCAGCATCTATTCATGCCCGCAGCTTCTCCTGCGGGCCCTACCCTCATCCACAGTCAGGTTGTACAAATCTGCATTGACCTATGAGCCATACAAGATCAGCCTGACATCTCAGCCCAAGGAGTGAACAAGTACCAAATAAAGCCACACTTACTCTTGTTGTAGCAGGTTGCCAGCACACCTTTATCTGCGGGGCTGGCACTGATATGCCAGATCTCACCCACTTGATGGAGGAGAACATTTTTATTTATAATGTTATTTTCATCATCGAAATCTATGATGTGAATCTACAAAGAAAAAAAGGGTCATATCAGGGTCTCAGTTCCTTGGTATTGTAAAAAAAAGCTTCATGGTCACAAGAAGAATCAAACATGTATTTCAAAGCAGAAGCAGCTTTCACTACGATATTTTCAGTAGCATTATAGCACTCCTGTAGTCTGATGCCTACTACTGTCTCTCCAACGTCCCTGTGCAGGTAAGCTACATAACATGGCCTCTGTTGCCCAGCTCTCACCTGGCTCATATCTGTAGATTGTGTTTGTAGGCCAGCCTGGAAAGAGAAATTCCTGAAACCCATATCTCTGATTGACTAACAAAATACCAAAACTGAAGGTATGGCTTGAGTATATAACACCAGTATTGAAAGAAAAAGTCAATCAAGGCCCTGACTTCAAGCCCCAGTACAGGCAGAAAGAAAGAAAGAAAGAAAGAAAGAAAGAAAGAAAGAAAGAAAGAAAGAAGAAAGAAAGAAAGAAAGAAAGAAAGAAAGGAAGAAAGAAAGAAAGAAAGAAAGAAAGAAAGAAAGAAAGAAAGGAAGGAAGGAAGGAAGGAAGGAAGGAAGGAAGGAAGGAAGGAAGAAAGGAAGGAAGAAAGGAAGGAAGGAAGGAAGTTGATCAAAGACCTCAATGTCTTATTGCAAGAAGAACTAGGAGAAACAGTTGAACTTATAGGCAATGGCAAAACTTTTTTAAAAGAATCCCAGAGACATAGCAGATAAGCGAGAGACTTGAACAATGGGATTACATCAAAATACAAAGTTTCTGCACAGCAGAGGACATAGTAAATTAGAAAGACAGACAACAACAACAACAAAGATAAAAAGAAAAAAGAAACACAGCCAACAGACTGGGAGGAGATCTTTACCAGCAGTATATATGACAAAGGTCTAATATTCAAAGTATACAAGGAACTCAAGAAACTAACCCCTCCCAAAGCTAATAAACCAGTCACTAAAAGGGCAAAGGAGATGAGAGACTTCTCAGAAGAAGGTAAAATGACAAAGAAACACATGAGGAAATGCTCATCGTCTCCGGCTATAAAGGAAACACAAATCAAAACAACGCTGAGATTTCATCTCATCTCAGTTAGGTTGTCCAACATTGTGAATTCAAACAACAAATGTTGACGGGGTTGGGGGGAAAAGGGAACCACCCTGGACAGCGGTCTGGAGGTTCCTCAAAAAGCTAAACAAAGACCTTCCTAACAATCCATCCATACCACTCCTGGGCAGCTACCCAGCATATCACGAGCCAGGATACTGTAAAGATACTTGCACACCCATGTTCACTGCTGCACTAGTCACATTATCTGTTATGGAAACAGCCCACATGTACTGCAATTGATGAGATCCCAAAAAATGTGGTACCTATCACAATGGAATATTACACAGCCATTCAAAAGAATAGTAGTATGTCATTTGCAGGGAAAAGAATGAACCTAGAGCAAATCATGTTAAGTGAGGTAAGCCAAGATCATCAAGACAAATGGTGCATATTTTCTCTCATATGCAGAAGCTAGATGTAAAATACACTGGGATCTAAAATATACAGGACTCTAGACATCCACACACAGTGAGACCACAGGAGGACAGTCAGGGGAGGATGTGTGCCTCTGGCCATATATAATATTTATCTAGCCAGGCGCCAGTGGCTCACACCTTTAATTCTAGCTACTCAGGAGGCTGAGATCTGAGGATCGCAGTTCAAAGCCAGCCCAGGCAGGAAAGTCCATGAGACTTTTTTTTTTGGGGGGGGGGGTCTGGTCATGGGCCTGAACTCTGGGCCTGGGTGCTATCCCTCAGCAATTCAGCTCAAGGCTAGCACTCTACCATAGCGCCACTTTTGGCTTTTTTTTTCTGGTTATGTGGTGCTGAGGAATCGAACCCAGGGCCTCATGCATGCAAGGCAAGCACTTTACCACTGAGCCACCTTCCCAGCCCTCCCCCCCCCCCCCCCCCCCCGTGAGACTCTTATCTCCAATAAATCACTAGAAAACCAGAAGTAGCACTGTGGCTCAAGCGGTAGAATGCTTGCCTTGAGCTGAAGAGCTATGGGACAGCGCCCAGGCCCAGAGTTCAAGCCCCACGACCAGCAAAAATAAATTAAGTATTTAATTAATATTTATCAAAATGAGCTCCAAGAAATAGAAAGGAGGGTTTTTTCCTTTGTTGTTTTATTTTATTTGTGTTTTATTTGTTCCTTTTTCTGTCCTTGGGAAGGTAAGACAGTGGCACAGAAATGGAGGGACAAAGGGTGAACAAATGGTACTCTCTAGCTATACACATGTAGGTGGGAACAGGAGGGACAAACTGGGAGGCAGGGGTGACACTGTCCAAGAAGAGATGAACTCTCTACCCGACTTGTAGAACTGGAACCCTCTGTACATCACCTTAGGAATAACAAGTTTCAAAACTTTAAGGTGCAAGTCAGAAGTGACTAAGATGAGCCACCTTCCCAGCCCCCTGGGCTCGATTCCTCAGCACCACACAAGCAGAAAAAGCTGAAAGTGGTGCTGTGGCTCCAGTGGTAGAGCGCTAGCCTTGAGCTGAAGAGCTGAGGGACAGCGCCCAGGCCCAGAGTTCAGGCCCCACGACCAGCAAAAAAAAAAAAAGAGAAAAAGAAGTGACTAAGATGAAAAGGTAATGTGTTTTAAAACATTTGTTATCTGCTTGACCTATGCTTGCTTATTTATCATGCATTCCTTGTACAAAGGGGTTTCAATGTAATATTTCTACACTGCTAAATTATGTATCCAAATCACCTCACCTCATCATTCTACCTTACTCTTCTCTCACTTCTAAAACCATTTAACAGGTTTCACTGTTCTATTTTCATACATGCAAACAAACTACCTGGACCACATTCATCCTCATTCTCCCTCTTTCTTAGCCCTCCCCCTCCCACTGCTACCTTATTCCCCCAGAGCTTGTTTTGCTTTCCAGTCAGCTTCTTTTCCTCAGGTTAGAAGTGACTAAGATGGGAAGACTATTTTAACACATTTCAATTCTTTTTGAAAATGAAGCCAGGGGCTGAGAATGTGAGTAAGTGGCATAGTGCTTGCCTAGCATGCATGAAGCCCAGGGTTCGATTCCTCAGTACCACATACACAGGAAAAGTCAGAAGTAGCACTATGGCTCAAGTGGTAGAGTGCTAGCCTTGAGCAAAAGAATCTCAAGGACAGTGCTCAGACAATGCCCAGGACTGGCAAAAAAAATAAATAAGGCCAACATATGTAAATGCTTATGGTCATTTATATTACAATGTAATTAAATTTAGGTTACTAAGTGAAAAGATTAAATATGATATCTATATACCTTTCTGGATATTTGTTATAGAAATTACAATGATTTGGGGCTGGGAAGGTGGCTTAGTGGTAGAGCACTTGCCTTGCATGCATGAGGCCCTGGGTTCGATTCCTCAGCACCACATAAGCAAAAAGAAAAAAGCTGGAAGTGGTGCTGTGGCTCAAGTGGTAGAGCGCTAGCCTTGAGCTGAAGAGCTGAGGGACAGCGCCAGGCTGAGTTCAGGCCCCACGACCGTAACAAAACAAAAAAAAACAACAAAAAAAAAGAAATTACAATGATTTCCAAATTTGTACTCCTATCAATACTCAAAGCAATAAGAAAGCATAATTCTTCCACAGGTAAAATTATATTAAGAAAATAATCATGGGCCAGGCTGATGGCTCACCTCTGTAATTCTAGCTACTCAAGAGACTGAGATCTGAGGACTGTGGTTCAAAGCCAGCTGACAGAAAAATCCAAAAGACTATTATTGAACTTTTTTCCCTTTTTTTAGTTTGTGATTATTCTTCACCTATGCATGGTGTATTAAACATCTATCTTCAGAAGGGCTGGGGGGAATACAGAACTTGAGGGAAAATGGATGAAAAAGTACAGCAGTGGAGCTCACTGGAACTGATGAAAGTGAACTATGCAAGTGGTGGGTGGAGACGGGAGGGAAGGACTGGGAGAGAGTGAGGGAACAGAAGACACTGTGTGACTCATTTAACTGTAATCCCTCTGAACATCTTCTCCATAACAGTAAATTAATTTTTAAAAAACATCTGTATGCAAGTTAAAAAAAGAGAGACTACTATCTCCAATAAACAAGCAAACACGCTGGAAGTGGAGCTGTGGCTCAAGTAATAGAGAGTCCCGTGCTCCCAAGGAGGACTGTGGAGGGTTCATGAGGACTGTGGAGGTCCACCCTCACAAGGAGGACTACGGAGGTCCAGGCTCCCGAGGAGGACTGTGGAGGTCCACCCTCACAAGGAGGACTGCGGAGGTCCACGCTCCCGAGGAGGACTGCGGAGGTCCACGCTCCCGAGGAGGACTGCAGAGGTCCACGCTCACAAGGAGGACTGTGGAGGTCCACGCTCCCGAGGAGGACTGCGGAGGTCCACGCTCCCGAGGAGGACTGCGGAGGTCCACCCTCACAAGGAGGACTGCAGAGGTCCACCCTCACAAGGAAGACTGTGGAGGTCCACGCTCCCGAGGAGGACTGCGGAGGTCCACGCTCCCGAGGAGGACTGCAGAGGTCTACGCTCCCGAGGAGGACTGCAGAGGTCCACCCTCACAAGGAGGACTGCAGAGGTCCACGCTCCCGAGGAGGACTGCGGAGGTCCACGCTCCCGAGGAGGACTGCGGAGGTCCACCCTCACGGACTGCGGAGGTCCACCCTCACAAGGAGGACTGCAGAGGTCCACGCTCCCGAGGAGGACTGCGGAGGTCCACCCTCACGAGGAGGACTGCGGAGGTCCACCCTCACGAGGAGGACCATGGAGGTCCACCCTCTCAAGGAGGACTGCGGAGGTCCACGCTCCCGAGGAGGACTGCGGAGGTCCGCCCTCACGAGGAGGACTGCGGAGGTCCACCCTCACGAGGAGGACTGCGGAGGTCCACCCTCACGAGGAGGACTGCGGAGGTCCACGCTCACGAGGAGGACTGCGGAGGTCCACGCTCTGCACACACTGTCATCACCGTGAACTGGAAGCCAGCCACAGCCCG